AAGTCTGTAAAATATTGTAAATTTTATTTCAATTTTTCAATAAAGACAAGCCATCGTGGCATGATTGCGGGTTAAAAAAAAAAAAATAAAAATAAAAAATAAAAAATTTTATACTATTTAAATTCATAGTCAAGTTGAGGTAGGAAAATTTATTAGAAAAAGTTATAAAAAATTATTATAAAATTTAGATTATTATAAAAAAATAATAAAGTTTCTTTAAAAAAATCTTTTATTATTAAACAAAGTTTTATATTATTTTATTAATAAATGAAGAAAATAATAGTAAATCAGTTATTAGATCTTTTTTGCTATTGATAAAAAGAATAATTATTTATTTTTATAGTTATATGAAATCAAGTTTTTTATAAAAAGATATAGATAAATTTAAGGTTATAGAATAACTTTTAAGAAAATATTTTATCAATTAATTAAGAAAAATATTAAAAATTTTGTTAATATAAAAGTATCAGAGCTTTTGTAAATATCATTTTTGTATATAATTAAAAAATCAATTTATATATACTGTAGTTTTAAATAGTATTATAGTTTATTAATTAATAATATATAATGTTAAATTAGCTATTATATAAAAATTATTATAATATTGATTTGTGGATCAATAGCACAGTAGTAGTACTTCCAGGTTACAATCACAAGGTCTATAGTTAAATACCACTTAAGAATCAAAAAATTAAATTACTCTTCTGATTAGGTTTACTGATTATCCTGTAAAAGTCATACTCAATTATTCAGAATTAGATTTAATTAGGTTAGGCTGCATGAAGATGAGACTTCTGACTTTCTGTCAATCAGGGGCTAAGATCTAAGATCATATTACCAGAAGAATTATATAAAGAAAGGTTTCTGATCTAATTCTTTATAAATACTTCACAAACCCTTGTCTTGGCAGTCTCCAGAACTCCTAAAGAATATTTTAGCTTAAGGTTATTCCAAGGATGATCGGAAGCTACAGGTGGTAAAAGCAAGTATAATACCTTCTCTAAAGTTTCAAGTGAAAAGTATTGAACAGTTTTTCTGGATGTTCTAACCAATCCTGAAAGGTATATACTTCTAATGATCTAGCTGGATCCTGTAGAAGGTGGTTTAAACTAGTGATAGGACTTCCATCCCTGCGTAAGATCTTATCTGATATGTGATCACACTCTTGATAGTGTTTAAATAAATGTATATTAGGTAAAAGTAATAACTTAGTTAGCTATATTTAATTATAGGTAGTGCTAACTCTATATGTATATGCAGTATATGTAGAAGACATTTGATATACTAATTAAATATTTGTATATATCAATAAAATCACGTATGTTTGCAAAGTTTACCACTAAAAAAAAAAAAAAAAAAAAAAAAAAAAAAAAAAAAAAAAAAAAAAAAAAAAAAAAAAAAAAAAAAAAAAAAAAAAATAAAAAAAAAAAAAAAAAAAAAAAAAAAAAAAAAAAAAAAAAAAAAAAAAAAAAAAAAAAAATTATTATAATATTGATAATAATATTTAAAATCTTTAAGAATATATTATAATATAATGATTGTAAATTAAAAAAAAAAATAATTAATTGTAAATTCAAAAGATATTTAATATTAAAGCATTATAAATAAATATTTGTTTCAAGTTTAGAATTTTAATTTTTTTTATTTATTTTAAAATATTGATAAATTATATTATATCAAAATTTTTTTAAAATAACAATAGAAAATTATTTGATTATTACAGTATTTTATTTGGAAGTATAATATTTATTTACAGTATATACTTAATGGTATTTTTTTAAAGAATTAATTTAGTTTTTTTCTATTGTATATATTAACCAAGATAATGTTTTATTAAAGTAAACTTTATGTCTTTTTATACTAGCAAGCCTAATACATGTTTAATTCAAATATAAAATTTAATTTCAGTCAACCATTTGTTTTAGCAAAATTGCAGCTACGAAATTTAGATTTTTAATTAAATTAATTGCTATACAGTATAATATACTTAAAATTATTAATGAAGTAAATAAGATCCTGGTATCATTTATGTGAAAAATTATTTAATATTAAACATGAAATTTGCTGTATTTTTTTAGAATTAACTATTCAGCTTTGTTAATATGCACAAAATGTAAAGATACCAGAAAATGAATTCAATAGTCACTAAATCGATCATTTTTCTACTGCTACACAGTCATTCATTCATAACGAATTTCGGGATCTCCATATTGATTTGTCCTAATTTTACCACTACGGCTAATTTCCTCAAGCTCCTCTCGTGTCCTTGGAAGGTTAAAAGTTGTATCCTCCATGAAGCCATCATTGATATTTTCGTCACGTCTACCCAAAGTTTGTTGCGATTTATTGATATATGAATAATCATCCGCATTTGTTGAATTTTTCTGTTTCCTATCTGTTTTGGCCCTTTCGCGAACTTTATCCCATGCAGATAACGGTGATGTTTGTGCACTTTCCGTGACTTCTTCAAACTGGGGTTGTTGACCTAAGATTTAACGAACAAGGAAGTCCCATCGTGAATAGTTATAATTGATCCCCAGTGAATTATCATATATAAACATGCAAATATACCATATTCGAAACCACCATCGTCTTTAATCATTTCGTAATCCAACGGTATTTCATCTCCTCTTTCATGATCTCTGGGCTTTTGACCTCGTTGCAGTGGCGGGATGGCCACTCGCGAGGTACGTTCCTCAATTATCTCATTTCTTTGATTGTCAATGAAATGAATAGTTGTTTACCACAGATTGTTACGTACAAAATGAAATCATAAATCAGAAAATATTGAACGAAATGGGTGAATAATGAAGAGACTAAAGTAATCGTAAAACAAAAGGCTTGAACGCAACTGCACATCTCGAATTAATTCCAAGATACGTTTTGAATTGGGCATACTTTGTAACATTCTTATGCCGGCAATCCCGCCAGAAACAATTCCCAGTTGACTACCCGTGAATGAAGTACCTACAATGTAGAACGAAACCAAACAGATTTATTTAGATTATTCTAATTTAGGATGATGTAGAATGGGTAAAAATGGTAACAGATATTCACCAATGCAGAGCGTAACAGCTCCAAGGCGCCTGAATTTAAGCGTTCTGGCTTCGTACAGATAAAAAAAAAAAAAAGAAAAAGATCAATTTCCCTTCTTTCTATTTGATAAACACCACATGCGTAGGGCTTTTATTTTGATGAACCCTATTTTTTCTTACATACCAAGAACACCACCAACAACAAATCCAGCCAATGCGCCTATTTTCACTAAATCAAAAAATCAGTTTGATTAAAAAATAGCATGGATAAATTTTCATTTCCTCTGATATAAAAATAAAATAAACACACTGTGCGTATTCATTTTCTCTTTAGCTTTCATGAGAACTAGAAACTCCTCTTCGGATAGGTTGTTTTCTTTCATTTTCTCCCGAACGCGCTCAAATACAGTTGGATGCATTTTATTAGTTAATCGAAATCATTGCGGTAAGTGCGTCGATATTTAAATTCGTAATTTAGCACGTGACCAGAGTACTCTTGTTACTCCAAAGTCCACATGGTGTTAATAAAAATGGTTAGAAAAAAAGTAAACACGATGTTATTTTCAAGGAAAACGCGGTTAGAACAATTTTCGTCTTCATTTTTATTTATTTAAAATATAACTTTACTGTAGGTATAAGCATTTATTTAAATTTAATAAATACTTCATATACAACATAGGCGATACAAAAATAATTATCTTTAAATGTAAATTTTCATTTTCATACTGTAAATTACCGAAACCGAAGGAAAAAAAAAGATTTTTTTTTATTATCAAAAAAAATATTTTTTCAATCTATTTTGTTTACCAAGAAAACAAATGAATATGTGAATTCGAGGACGGCAAATAAATGATAGAAGCTATTAATAAATTTTCATCTCATTAGTATTAGATTTGGTAATATAAAAAAGAAAGCGATATCTATTCAAACTGATACAACTATATCTAGGGAAAGCCGTTGGCAAAAAAAGAAATTTTGAAAGAAAACTTAAAAGAGTTCCAATAAAGTAAATTTTGAATTATTAAATTAATAATAATTTTTATTGTTTATATCTTTTATTTTATTTTTTTTTTATTTGAGACATTAAGTAAATATTTACAATATTATATTGACTATTAAGACTAACTTATCGTTAGTTAAAGGACAGCATTATTAAATTAGTTCAAATTAAACAAACCAAATTTTTATTTAAGTATTTTAAATCAAATTTAAGAAAAAATATTTTAATTTTTTAATAGATTATTATCATAACTTCTATTTATTAGGATTATTGTTAGCAATTATTATTAATGGTCATTTTGAAAAACAATAAATTGTTGAATTAATAAATTAAAGAAAGGAAAAATAAATAATTTAAGATTTTTAAAAAAATTCTTATTTAAGATCTCAAAAAATTTTATTTAATTAAATATCCTTTTGCTTTTTATTTTAATTTATTTTTTTTATCACAAATGGATATTATATGTGAGCTTTATTAGAAACTTAATTCCTAAATATGACATCAATAGTCTTTACATTATAAATTAACTATAGCATATTATGATGTTTTTAATAGGACAAATTAATGATCTGTAACCAGTTTTATTAGATTAGGGTCAAATGGTCTTTTGCTTTTTAATTATTTGAAAATTTTATTTATTTTTAATATAAATTTTTTTAAGAATATTTGACTAAATAAGTATATTTTTTACTAATATAGAAATTTGCTTATATTTTTAAAGTTTATATTATATTACAAAAAGGTTTATTTATAGTAATTAAAATAAAAAAAAATTTTTTTTTTTAACTATAACTGATATTAGATATAAAACTTTTATTAACATATAGTTAAAGATGGGTTCCTAAAGGAAAAGGTCAGGACTAGGAAATATTAAAATTTTTAAAATAATAAATATAAAAAAACTATCTACAATTATTCTCCATTATTCAAATCATTAATTTATAACATTTCTTGACTTTTTGTCCCTATTAAAATAAAGAGCTATGAATTTTGTTTCTAAAAAAAGGACATAATAATCTGTAAAATTTTATATGCTAAATACTTTAAGGATTTATCATTACATATAATTACTATTATTATCTTATACATCCTATATATTTCTATCTATATGCAAATTAAATAATAATCTAATACAATTTACCTAGCTAAACTAGTTATATACAGAAAGTAGATAAACTTAACTAGGGATCAAATGATTATTACAAATCATTAACAATAAGTTTCAATTAGTTAATAGTGAGCTGCAAATTATTATTTTATAATCTAAATTACTAGATTAATTTAGCTATATATATATACCTGATATGTAATTAATAATCTTTTTAATATACTCAAATGCTATTCACTCAGTTCTCGAAAAGATGCATGTTATTTTTTTTATTATTACTTATAGCATTAAATCAATCTTTATTGATTAATTTTCAATTAAGTATCAGATTAAATATTTAAAATTAAGAGAGTCAAGTTCTAAAGTTTGCTAATATAGTTTAGATTAAATATATTTAAACAATTACCTTAATCTTAAAAATAGGATCTTGAGATTTAGTTCTTATCTAATTT